GCAAATGGCTTCCTGGTACTCCCAACAAGGTTGAGTCCTAGCCAACATTAGGGCTCTCATTGTACACATTCTCAAGTTCCCATTTGACCACCCCCCAAAAAGAGAGACACCTAGAATGACGATTATACTGTTTGCTTCCCCATACTCACCTACCCTACTTCTTCAACCCTTCTTTGTATGAGATGACACTATCACCTGGAATCTCTTACCTTCTGACTCTTCTGGTTGGGTCCAATCAATAAGCAGCACTGGCAGGATATTGGAGAGCTGGATAGAGAGGCTAAGATATCGATCTTCTCCCAACTGCCCCACCAGGTTGTGATTTAAGAACAACTGCATTTTTACATACCCATGGACTAAAGATAAAAGGCTTTTCCCTGCCTATGAAAAGCACCATGTAGATGTACTGAGCTTTGGCCATCCCATAGGGACAGGGAAAAGCATTCCTAATAACAGAGCTAGAATTTTCTAAATGCTTGGTTGAGAGCTTAGATATAGATTTGGTTAATTTAAATAAAATTATTAAACTATTGCTTTTCTTGAAAGTGCAACATTATGGAGGAAAGGTTTATACATAATGCACATATATTTTATGGAACTATCTACTATGCTTTGGAGCATCAAGAGTGAAAATTGCCATTAAATCTACAGTTTATTTATGTTATTTGTACTTTTTTTGCTGCTAAAATATATTGCAATCTGACAATGGTAAATTAAAGGCTCTAAATAAAAATGTATTTTCATTAATTATTATTGTTATTTGGGCAGTATTTCTATTATGTAGTAAGTTTATTATGTTTTCATTACTGAGTATAACTTTCTCGAGTAAAAATGGTACTCTTTTTAAATACAGTTATGCACCACATAAAGACATTTTGGTCAACAAGGGATGACATACACTATGATGGTCCCATAAGATTATAATGAAGCTGGAGTTGTGTAGTAGGCTACACCATGTAGGCTTGTGTAATTACACTCTATGATTTTGCATAAGGGCAAAATTGTCTAAGGACACACTTTCCAGAACATACCCCTATTGTTAAGCAAAGCATGACTATACATTTTCTTAAGTTTTTCATTATTAATTATTCTTACACTGATTTTTAAAATAGCTTGTTTTATTACCCATTTAATTTATAAAACCATTTTTAGTTTTAGTCAGCGTCATCTCATTTACACCTGAGTCCAGATCTTGGCCATCACTCACAATGCTATCACCTTCACACCTTGGGACTTTTTCTTTTGTACTACTTTTTATTACAAAATAATGGAGAAGTAAAAAAGGATAACACATTGACTTTTGAACATTTGTGTCCTGTGTCCCCCCTTTTGACCTGGGGCTAACCCAAGTAAATGTTATTATGCTCAGGGTTTTGGTTTCTACTTGAGAATGTATTACTTGAGATTCTGTCCTGTAGAACACGGTTTTATGCAGTTCTCCATTAAAATCCTGGCTCAAATGAGAGCATTGTGGAAATCAGCTTTTAAAGGACTCGAATTTAAACCCTTAGGTTGGGTTTGTTCTCTGCTAAACAGTACAAAGTTCTCTACTTTCTGTAAGAAATGTGGCCTTTCCAGAAAAGATCCATATATTGCATTAATGACATTGTAATTTTGTATGTTAACCTATAACATTTATTTATCAATTTCACCGAAAATATGGGGTCTTTAATTGATAAATATGGCTGTAGTTTGGAGTTTGGGGGTTGTAAGGTCAAATTTACTTTCTCTTCATAGTTCCTCTTTATTAACTTTTTTGTTTGTATTTTTGTTTTTAAATTGAGGTATAATATACATACTGGAAAGTACAAGGGTACTTCAAAAAGTTTGTGAAAAAAATAGAATTAGAAGGTAATACAAAGCTTTACGTGAACTGTTTGAAGTAACCTCATACACTTAAGGGTACAGCTTGATGAATTTTCTCAAAGTAAATGCACTTGTTTAACAATCACCAGATCAAAACATAGAACATTTAAGCACCTCAGAAGATTCCCTTATGCATTTTACTGCCTCATTCCTTCCAAAATCTAACCACTCTTCTGAATTTTAAACCCATGGGAACACTTTGTTTTCTAAACTTAATTAAAAGAAATCATAGTAGGTGTATTTTTGTATCTCACTTCTTTTGCTCAAATCTCTTTCAGAAGATTCATCCATCTTGTGTATTGTGAGTAGCTATCATTTGTTTATTCTCATTGCTTTATAATATCCCATCATGGGAGTATACCGTAGTCATTTCCAGTTGTGACTACTACAAACAAAACTGCTATGAACATTCTCATACATACATATTTTTTTGGAAAGCACTGAAATATATTTCTGTTAGTTATATGCCTAATAATAAAATTGCTGGGACATAAGAAATATGCATTTCAACTCAAATAGATAATGCCAATCTCTTTTCAATGGTTGTTTGAATTATATTTCCACCAGTTAGTTGTGAGAAATCAAATTATTCTATATTCTCATCACCACTTGGAATTAGTAGTCTTACTAGTTTCTGTCATTTTAGTCAGTTTGTATTTGTATCCACTTGCAGTTTTAATTTAAATTTCTCCAAGTACTGCTAAAGTTGAACACTTTTCTATATTATTCTTGAATTTTTGGACACCCTATTTTGTGAAATTCCTGTTCAAGTTTGTTGGCTATTTTTTCCTATTGGATTTCTTTCTCATTCTGTAAAACCTAAAAATAAAGAAGTATAGAAGAAAAACACAGGAGAAAACTGAGATACTCAATAATGTGAATGTGTCAATTGTTCTCAGAGTGATCTACAAATTTAACTCAATGTTGATCATTTTCCAAGTGGATTCATGTGGAAAATAAAAAGATGATTGTAAAACGAATACAGAAATACAAAGGGCCAGTAAGAAAGGTAAGAAATTGAAGCCCAGAAATAGACCCACGTATTTATTGACAAATTTTCATGACATACCCAGTATTGCTGAACGAAGGGGAAGCAACATCCTTTTTAATAAATGGTGTTGGTGTCAGTTAGATTCCAAATGGAAATTATATATATATATATATATATATATATAAATATCTTAACCCATTCTTCACACTATGTACAATAATCAATCTCAGGTGAAACATGGATCCAAATTCAAATAGGAACACAATAAGCTGATATAAATAATAACATAATATAGTATCATAATTGTCTTGGTTAGGCAATGTTTCTTAAATGTTAAAAAAATATAAAGTTAAAGTTTAAAAATGAACTATATGAAAATGAATAACCTGTCTTTATTAAATGTCATCACTGAGTATGTGAAGAGGTAAGCCACAGAGAAGGAAAATGTACTTGCAACACATGCAACAAACAAAGGACACATATCCAGAATATAGGAACAATTCATAATGTTGATGAAATTCAAGTTAATTTTTCTCTTTTTGAATAATGCTTTTAGTTTCATATGTAATAATTATTTGGATATCCCAAAGTCACATAGACTTTATTCTATGGTTTATCTGTTTTATTGCCAGGATTTCTTCTGGCTCTATATTGAAAACTGTGAAAATTAATAATTATAATATGCAGAGAAAACCCCATATATTCATAATATATATTCACTATGTGAAAAAATAAAACTGTTAAACAAAATGCATGGTTGACTATCTTACAGGAGACCCAACAGCTTGTTTTATAACATGTCATTTTCTTGGTGCAGGGAGTCCAACGACATCAAATAAATTGAATCTAATAATTCTCTGAATTTTTTGCTTTTTTCTTTACATTTTTATTTTGAAATGAAATATGGTGTTTTGATATTTAAAAAGACATTTTCTTTGTCTACGTTCTTAATATCTTAAACAATATTCATAATTTAAATGATATTAATCTTTCAGGAGGGACTATTATATTGATAATGAGGAAAACAGTCCATAGACTGCTTTTTTTCTAGCTGCAGAAAAATTGAAAATCTAGAGTTAATCTTTTTCAGAAAATAATAAAACATATATTTCTGTAAAATAACTGTTATAGGTTAAAGGTTGCTATAACGAATATTATTTTTTATGTGTTAAGTGTTCAAACCTGGTGATAATAAAGTTTGTTTGACTATGACCCTAAATTCATAAAACCAACCAACTGCTGAACAGTTTCCACTTCTATATCTTGTGTGATTTCCTCTCCCTTTCAGATGAGCTGAGCAACATTCGTGGGGAGGGGTGGTGGTACACGTTGCTATTAATCTATCACCAGTTATGGTCATTTAACAGTATGTGATCAACATATTTGAATTTATCCTTGAAAGATAAATGCGATATAATGAGGAAGCTACTAAAAGTGCTTGGTAAATGTATTGGTGATTAGAAAGGTTGTAGGAAGCTAATTAATAAGCTAATTAATCAATGCCATGATAGAAGGGAAGAATCTCAAAGTTGCTCAGGGACTGGAATTCTCCTGACTTGCCCACTTGTTTAGCTATGATTGTTTACTTTTTGTAGTACAACACATGTATTTTCATTCTCTTCATCTAAACCAAACACAGGAATAGAAAACAAATGCAGTTTTTGTCCTGAGTGAAAATAGTGATTTTTCTGTACCACTTATATGCTGAGCGGTGGTATTTAATAAATGTTGGCTTGATTCAAACAAACTTTATTATCATCAGGTCTGAACACACTTCACACATAAAAAGTAATATTCAGTACAGCAAAATTCCTCTGTTGCACAGAACAATGCTATAAGAAACTGAGTTCACTACAGGACTTCATTTGTCCACCAAATACTGCTGTATTAAGTAAAATCTGAAAACCACAGGGAGTGGCCTGTCAGGTCTGGGCCACTCCTTTTCCTGCCTTTTGCAGATGCATTCATTTGCTTACTGAATCACATTAGCCACACGTGAACTAGAACATGTGTTCTTAATAAGAACTGCTTTGATTTACAAAAGAACTTGAGATTCTCTCTTTGTATTTGGAACCAAAGCCGTCACTCTAGCATGAAGCATGCTGTCTCATGGCACCCAGACCCTGTCCAGGTTGTCACTTACATTATTGTCCTGCAAGACCTGTAGTGCCTTCTTGACATTGTTCAGGGCATGAACTCTTGTGGATCCTTTTTCTTTTGGCTGAAAACAAAATAAAATCATATTCACTGCCCAGCAGAGAAACCAAAAATCTACTAGAAATGAGACAATTCATACATTTCACTTTTAAGTTTGAAGACTGTAAATGAAGACAGGCTGGGAGGCATTAATATAATGAATCTCAGGGCTTTGGGCTAATTGTCCTTGGCATTCTAGTTCTTTAGCATGAACCAAACACTGCCCAAGGATGATAACACTTTTTTTCATTCACAAAGTCTTCATTCTATAGCCCAGTTGGGGATTGTTCATGACCGCCAAGGAGGGAAACATCAGCAAGCCTATGGACATTTGCTAGTAAGATAGATGAGCGAGTTAATTTCCACACTTTTTAGTAAGGTTAAAAAAAGATTTGAGTCTAGCAAAATTATATAATACCAAATAGAGTTAAAGGAAACTATTTCTGTGAATATTGCCTTAATTGTCCTAGTCACTGAAGCTCAAAACCTCAGTCATCTTTGGTTCCCTAACCCTCACTCTCAACCCCAGAATTCCTATCTTTTCCTGTAATTTTAAAACTAACATCTGCACAGTTTGTTACAATATACAAATTAATTAATTCATTAAGTTGTGGAGTTTTAAAAATGCTACCATTCTGCATTTAATTTCTTCTATTTTCATTTCTTTTACTTTAACACAAGCCCTCATTAGCTATTGCCCAGAATATAGCATAACCTCTTTTCATTTTCTCCTCACACACTGTCCCTCCTTTCATCCATCCTTCATATCTTCAACAACAATGTGTCTGAAGTAATCCCATTGCCAATGCAAAGCACTTGCATAGTTCTCATCTCACATTTAGAGTGACTATAGTTTAGTTAAAAGCATGAACTACAAAGCTGGACTGTCTGGGTTCAACATTCAGCTCTGCCACTTTTATGCTATATGATGTTAGGCAAATTTCTTATTCTCCTAATACACCAGTTCCCTCATCTGTTAAAACAGAGTTAATATTGTTAATAAAACTCTGCTTCACATGGTTGTTAGGAGAATCCAATGTGCTAATATGTTCAAAGCACTTAAATTGGTGCTTGCCACATATTAGGTACAATACAAATGTTTGCTATTATTATTATTGAGCTTGCAGTATGTGCTAGGTACTTTGAATGCACTATCTCTAATCCCTCTTGCAAGGCAAGTAGTTTATCCCCATCACAAAAATCGTGTATGTGAGGTTAAGAGCTAATATACAGCAATACAACTAGTAATTGATGGAGCCAGGATCCAAACTTTGGTCTATGTCTGTAAAGCCAAAGTTTTTTCCAAATTTATTTCCTTCTCTTTCTTCTAAATACCTTGTGCATGCCCCAACTAAATAATCTTGTTTTTCTACTTCTTGCATTTTGGCCCCTACTTTCCAGCAATTTCCCTGTCATTCTTAAGCAGTCCCTCACCCTAGAACACCTTATCCTTTGCACTGTCTGCTGAGCTTCCCAAATAAAGCTAAAGAATTCTACTCTCCAACATGTCTTGTCTGATATCCTTTATCAAACAGGATTGACATCTTGTTCCTTTGACTTCCCATGACTTTAAATATAACCTTATGAACAGGAAACTCCATTTTTTACCTCCTAAAAAATTTTCCTCCAAGAATATCAAAATGATATAGGTTTATATTTTGGTATTTTTCCCACTTCCCACCACAAAGAGGAAGAAAATAAGTCCATGGAAAGATAAAATTTCACATCAAAAGAAAAGCAGCAAAAAAACAAGTTTCTTGTGTATATATAGGTTCACAGCATACAAGTCTAATTGTGATTTTGAAATTTTTGAAAATAATTACTCAAATCAATCCTCTGCCTAATATTTAGACAAAAGCTACATATTACCTTTTAGTCAGTTGCAGAATTGCAACAATAAAATTTAGTAACATATTCCTTTGCTTCAAACTCAAACATATGTGCATATTTATCAGAACCAAAGGAATTCTATTCTTAAAAAAAGCTGTAGTTTGTGATTCCAAAGTGGAAGCTGAAATCTACCCCTATTAGAGTTTCTTTGGGGAGTAATTTTAATTTTATGGTTGTAAGGAAAGTACCTCCCTTTTAACTCTGGGGATGCCCTGAGCCAATATTCCAAAAGCAGATGTTTCCAAGTAGGATACTAAGATTACTGTTCAGGATAATATACTACTCCCATTAGAGGTAGAGGATATATATCTGTAGAAACTATTAGGATTCAAGACCAAGTACAGGGAGTTGGAGTTCTGAAACTGGGAGCATTCATGAGAGAGGTCATTCTGCTCTGTATGAAAGATGAAGTCCCCAAACCAGGGCTGACAGATCTACGGTGACTAGGAGGAAGAACGGATTGCTGATTCTGTTAGCATCAATATTTGAAATAATATAGTGTATTTTGGCTTGTGTGCACGTTTGGTGACTTTTTCAGGACCACCCACTTACCTCATGCTGGACAATACCATGAATATTTTGTTTGCCGTTTTTTCTTCTATGCTTGTTACTTATTAGTTTCATTTTATCTCTGTATCTATGGATGTATGCATGTCAATAAAAATTTCAAGTCACTTTTTATTTTCATTTTTTCTTTTGCTTAAATTCAATATTTTAAACATTGTGCCTATATGAAACTTGGTAACCCTGACAAAATTGCTTTGGGTGATGGAGGGGTTGCCTCAGTTCATGAAATGACCAGAGAGAGTCACAGCACCACAGAAAAGTGGCTATGCAGTTACCCAGAGGGGAAGAGACCAGAGCCTTGTGCAGAGGGCCAGAACAGGTTGTGGAGCCCATAATATCTGAAAAAAATTTCATAAACAATTGAAACACTCTGGAATTTTTCTATTTGGTAATTGAAAACAGGACCGACCCCAGAATACAGGAGAAATTGGGGACACAGAGACACACTCATTTTTATATCTACCTATCTATAACATACATACACGCATACATACATATGCACATACATATACATATTATGTATAATACACATATAAAATGTTCACATAGTCATAGAATATGGAGAATTATATACAAGTATGCCTCCTCTAACTAGTGAAATTAAGACTAAGTGTACACTATACCCTCAAATTAGCTAAAAGAAAGGTCAGCTGTAAGGCAATAAATATGAATTTTTTCACTTGACTAAAGTAATATTTCAATACATCATCAAGTTGTTCCTATATCAAATTCAGACTTCTTGAAAATGTATCGGTTTGAATTTAACTTAGTAATATATTAATCCCATATAGCAGTTGTAGAGGATTAATAATAAAAGTATAAGGTATGTCCTTTCCCTGTAGGACTTCAGAATTTAATTGAGGAGGGACGTTATAGTCATAAATACATACACCAAAATAACAAAGCAACACATAGAGACAAAAATGGGTATTATACGAGATTTAAGAAGAAGGGGAAATTAGCAGAGAATTTGGGAAAGGCTTGACTGAGAAGGAGAAACTAAGGTTTCCGAAGGACTGTTAGAACAGACAGAAGTACAGAAAGCAATACAGACAATTAAAACAACATAGGAAAAACCCCAGGCATAACTGACAGAGCACACAAAGACCAATTTGGCTTAGCATAAGAGAGTTGTAGGAGGCAAGTTGGGGAAATAGGACTTTTGGCATTTTTGGCTTTGAATGACAGCTGGAGTTTGTATATTATTGACAAAATCTGTGGTGTGTGTGTGTGTGTGTGTGTGTGTGTGTGTGTGTGTTTGAGGGAGTAGTACGAAAGGGCAAAGAGAAGAGACTAAGGAAATAAATTAGTAGGATTTATTTGATATGCAGAATAGCTATGAATGGAGACTGGGGGCTTAAACTCTACTTAGAATAATAACAATCAAAGAATAAGATTATTTCAGTCAGGAGATTTGGATTCTAGGACATATTTCACCATTATGAGACCTTGCTCAACTGAACTGAGACTCATCCATGATTTTATTGACCCATAATTGTCTATAACAATCATATATATCTCACAAGAATGCTCTGAAGTTAGACAAGATAATAGTTCTCAAAGGGAAGTTGCATTCTCATCACATATGCTGATGTGAATTGAACTAAAATGTCTACATTTTATTATGCTGCACCACATTAATTGTTTATTCATAAACTAATATAGGTTCATTGCAAAATAACTGCAAAACATACAAAAGTACAAAGATAGTTTTGAAAATCATATGCATAAAAGCCTTTAAGGCGTTTGATAAGAAAGATACCAAGTAGTAAAAGAGAATACTACTATTAATTAATATAAATTATATTACTGAAAATTTTCCCTTTGTTGTTCTGCATATGATGAACTATGCCAAAATGAAAATAATAATATGAGATTGTTTTATTCAGGAATAGGTCCTGAATTGCTACTTAAATCATTACTTAATAAATGAGTGCATTTTAGTAGATCTCATAAAACTATACTGTTTGATTTGAATATCACAAAGAAATGTTGACTTCCTTAAAAATAAGTCACATACCAGTTTTTGCCCTGTCAGGCCTTCAAGGAGGTCTAGGAGGCGTCTCCCATCCTGCAGGTCACTGAAGAGGTTCTCTATGTGCTGCTTTCCAAACTGAAATACAAAATACACCCAATTAAACAAAGCTTACTACCAATGATCCATTTCCATGATTACACTTTTTGAAATTTAAAGTTATAGTTAAAGATATTTAATGTATCTAATTACTAATCTACCAAGGGTAATAGATGAAAAAAGAAAGTTCGGGTTAAAAAGCAAAACACATCATCATTAGATCAAATCTGTTTGAATTGTTTTTTGATAAGCAAGAGTTGGAGATCTGTACTGTGATTATTTTATTTTATTTTTTTTGTCTTTTTTCGTGACCGGCAACGGATCGCAACCCTCAGTGTCGCGCCCATACTGGACCGGGACCGGCAATGGGATCGCAACCCTCAGTGTCGCGCCCATACTGGACCGGGACCGGCAATGGGATCGCAACCCTCGGCGTTGCCCCCGCTCCTCGCTCAGCCAGTGAGCGGCCGGTCTGTATGTGGGATCCGAACCCTCGGCTGGAGCGCCGCCGCGCTTCCCAAGCAGCGCACTGTAGCAGTGCGCCAACGGGCCGGCCCCAGTACTGTGATTATTCTAATTAACCCAACTTAGTGAATGTTGACTCTATAAAGAAGGCAAAAAATATTTAAACTATCAGGTAGTTGGGGGGAAGTAAACAAACAAAGAAACAAAAGCCACATACAATATGCCCTGGGTGGGTACATAAAATTTAACCCTTCTGTGTACTTGGACGTATAATACACATCCATACAGTGTTCAACAGCCTCGTCGCACAGAACATGCTTTCTCTGCATACATATTTTACACACTGCTTTAGAATGATCCATTCTAATATTGGGTAACTCAAATTTTAGAAAGATCTGATTTAAATAGAGTTGAAATGAGCTGGTGAAAACTTTTCATCTATTTTTCCCCCTCAGGAATTATACTAAGGAAAAATAATAGTCACTGATAATATATAATATTTTTGGAGTAACTACTCATGAGAGACACTCCACTAAATTAGTGGATCTTATAACATTTGTGACATAGCTTTGAGGTTAGCATTTACAGTCGTAGATTCATCCTGCAGATGAGACAAAGAGAATTGAATACGTGGCTTTTTGTCACAAAACTAGAAGGGCGTAAAGCCAAGATTTTGGCTAAGATCTGTCTAACTCCTAAAGCCCTTGTTCTTTCTATCTTCTGCTGCTTTCTTGGCCTTTTTATGCTTCTATTTGATTACCTTACAGGTATTTTATTTCTTCTATCATATACTCCCAAATCTTTTATTTTTCTGGTTAAAAGCTTACAATCCATTCATATGAGATCATTCCCAGCTCTTTCATCTCCCAAGTTATCTAGCAAGCCCCAGTTTATCAGTTTTGGATGTTTATCGGGCACCTAAAAACCTGAGCCAGGTACTGAAGCATACACTAGTAAATCAGACACAGCCCCAGCCCCTATGGAACTTAGAGTCCATCAGAGAAAACAAATATTCCTAAAAGTTCATACTACATAGAAGCAGTAAAAGTCCTAGGAGCATATAACTATGGGAACTCTCCTAGTCTTGAGATCTGGAAATACTTTCCTAAAAATGTCAGGTGATGGGTCTAACATTAGTCCCTGTGTGATTGGGCTCTTCTTAACAACACCTAAGATCACAGAGGAAATTTCAATCTCACACAGTTCAAGAAAATTAAGTAAAGATAAATCAAGAAAGCCTTGTTTCCAGGCCAAAGACATTCCTGAAACTTTCAAGACTGAAGACATTTGATTCAGACTCTCCCTACAGCCAAACAGCTATGTCAATAAGTCCAATCAATGCCTGGATATTTCATATGAAAAAACCACTGGCCCCTGCAGGCAGTCCACCAGCCCCTGCATGCCTACCTTTGAGAATCCAGACAAATACATGATTTGATAAATTACAAGTTATTCTTTTAAAATTCTACTAAAATAGTTCTTTAAATTCCAGGGAACAATCAAAACAACACAAAAACACTCACATGCTGGAATTTTTTAAAAAGCTGCTTTACTACGCATTATATACATGCAAATTTGAAAACAACAATTTTTATGAAACTAAGAAAAGCTTTCTATTAATAATTAAAGAAAATGAATGTACACTTTCTAATAATGCTGTCAGGAATCTCATATCTAAATCGGAATAAGTTGGCATTTTGAGGGTAATAGTAAGGTTTTATTTTCAAATTGAATAAACCTATACAATGCCTTGAAAATTCTGATTTTTTTTTTCAGGAGCAAAATTTTACAGATGCATTTGAAAAAAGTGTAGCTTGTAAACTTATCAATAAAAGAATCTTGCACACTGCAATGTGTCAATATTTGAAGAAAATAAAATCTAGTTAGCTGACAGATACTTGTTCTTATGAAAATATATATCTATATTTTCCTGTCAAACCAGGAAAGACGTGGATGTCAAAATTTTGCTCATTCAAAAAGAAGATCAGAGACTGGGAAAGGTGTGGTAAGTCTTGGAGGTGCAGAATAAAGCATGAAACCTAAGTCTATAGGGTTCATATAGTATCCAAGATAGGAGAGATGTGTTTGGGTTTGAGGGCAATGAGTGTCAACAAAGATAGATAAGGCAGACAAGATCTTGCTGATCTTGCTTTTGGTCCAAACTTATAAAGACAGACCAGGGCTTATTATAATTCTCTTTTTAAAACTGTAGTCAACCAAAATGGAGAAGGAATGAAGGATTGTAGGCCAGTCAGAGGCCTCCAGGTGCACCTAGTTTGGTCACCTAGAAAGAGAAAGCAGCAAGGTGAAAATGAAAAAAAAAAGACAGTTCTCGGTATCATATATAATTTTCAAAAATCACACAATATGTTAAAGTACCACCACTGAAATCCAACTTGCATTTCTTATATTCACCACATTTTGTAATTCTCAGAATGTTCCACCAGACCATACTTTCAACAAATGAGATTGAATGAATTTAGCCTGGAGTCTGGCGATATAAATCACACAGTGACTGCAAGTTCAAAATTTCTATGAAAGCATATGTTTGCTTTAATGTAAAAGTAATTTCAAGCACTTTTGAGAAAAAAATTCCTTCCTCCGGTCTAAAGTGATTCTCAATGAAATGTTCAATATTTAGCCTGTAACTTCATGGGCCTTCAAGTGCTCAGTCTTACTCCCTCTATAGTATGAATACCCCAAGGAAAGTAAAACATCTCATTTCTTTTGGATGGTTCTCATTTCTTCCCTGGCTTCAATTATAGGCATACCGTGGAGATATTGTGGGTTTGGTTCCAGACCACTGCAATAAAGCAAATATTGCAATAAAGCAAATCGCATGAAATATTTGGTTTCCCAGTACATATAAAAGTTATGTTCACACCATACTGTAGTCTATTAAGTGTGTAGCAGCATTATTTCTCAGAAACAATGTGCATACTTTAATTAAAAATAGTTCATTGCCAAAAGTGCCAATGATCAAATGAGCCTTTAGGGAATTGTAATTGTTTTGTTAGTGGAGGGTTTTTCCTCGATGTTGATGGCAGCTGACTAATCAGGGTGGTGGTTGCTGAAGGCTCGAGTGGCTGTGGCAATTTCTTAAACTAAGACAACAATAAAGTTTGCCACATCAATTGACTCTTTCTTTCATGAAAGATTTCCCTGTAGCGTATTATGCTATTGGACAACATTTTACCCACAATAGAACTTTCAAAATTGGAGCCAATCCTCTCAAACCCTGCTGTTGCTTTATCAACTAAGTTACGTAAATTCTAAATCCTTTGTTGTCGTTTCCACAATGTTCACAGCATCTTTACCAGGAGTAGATTTTATTTCTAGAAATCACTTTATTTTTTAATCCATAAGAAGCAATTCCTCATCTGCTAATGTTTTACCATGAGATTGCAGCAGCTCAGTCACATCTTCCAGCTCCACTTCTAGTTCTACTTCTCTTGCTATTTCCATAACATTTACAGTTACTTCCTTCACTGAAGTCTTGAACCCCTCAAAGTCATCCATGAAGGCTAGAATCAACTTCTTCCAAACTCTTGTTAATGTTGATATTTTGACCTCCTCCCATGAATCACGAATGTTCTTAATGGCATCTAGAATAGCAAATCTCTACCAGAAGGTTTTTCAACTTACTTTGCACAGATCCATCAGAGGAATCACTATCTATGGCTGCTATAGCCTTACAGAAGGAATCTCTTAAATAATAAGACTTTAAAGTCAAAATGACTCCTTGATCCATCGACTGCAGAATGGATGTTGTCTTAGCAGGCAAGAAAACAATATTAATCTCCTTGTACATCTTCATCAGAGCTCTTGAGTGATCAGAAGGACTGTCAATGAGCAGTCATATTTTTAAAAGCCTCTTTTTTTCTGAGAAGTAGGTCTCAACAGTTAGCTTAAAATGTTCAGGAAACCATGGTGTAAACAGGTGTTGTGTCATATATGCTTTGTTGTTCTATTTATAGAGCACAGGCAGAGTAGATTTAGCATAAGTCTGAATGGCCCTAGGACTTTCAGAATGGTAAGTGAGCATTGGCTTTAACTTAAAGCCACCAGCTACATTAACCCTTAACGAAAGAGTCAGCCTGTCTTTTGAAGCATGGAAGCCAGACATTGACTTCTCCTTTGCAGCTACGAAACTCCTAGAAGGCATCTTCTTCCAACATAAGCAGTTTTGTCTACATTGAAAATCTGTTGTTTGGCATAGGCATCTTCATCAATGATCTTAGCTAGATTTTCTGGATAACTTGCTGTAGCTTTTACATCAACACGTGCTGCTTCATCTTGTACTTTTATGTTATTGAGATAGCTTCTTTCCTTAAACCTCATGACCAACCTCTGCTAGCTCCAGACTTTACTTCTGCAGTTTCCTCACCTCTCTCAGCCTTCACAGAGTTAAAGAGACTTAGGGCTTTGCTCTGGATTAGGCTTTGGTTTAAGAGAATGTTGTGGCTGGTTTGATCTTCTATCCAGACCACTGTAGCCTTTTACATGTTAGCTAAAAGGCTGTTTTGTTGTCTTATTTATTTATTTATTTATTATTTAATTTGAATATTCATGAGATACAAAGCTGATTGTTCCCCCTCCTGCCCATGATGTGAGGGCCACAGTCATACTGGGGGCATACCCATTACCAGAAATTACTTTTGTACCCAGTGCCCCACCCAATTATCCCTCAACCTCCCACCCCCTCCCCCTCTCGCCCCACTCCACTTTGTAGCCCTAGGAATGTTCCCTCCCTATGTTTTGTTTTCTTATGATCCATGTGTTCAGAGTATGAAGTAGCACTTTTAGTTTCAAGAACTTTTCCTCTACATTCACAACTTGGTTAACTGTTAGACACAAGAGGCCTAGCTTTCAAATTCTCAGCTTTCAACATGCCTTCCTCACTAAGCTTAATCACTTCTAGCTTTTGATTTAAAGTGAGAGACATGTGACTCTTCCTTTTGCTTCAACACTTAGAGGCCACTGAAGGGTTATTAATCAGCCTGATTTTAATACTGTCATGTCTCAAGGAATAGGCAGGCCTGAGGAGAGGGAGAGAGATGAATGCAGCAGTCACCTCACACACATTTATCGACTAAGTTCACTATCTTGCATGGGTGTGGTTCTTGGCTCCCCAAAACAATTAAAATAGTAACATCAAAGATCACTGATCATCAATCACCATAACAAATTTAACAATAATGGAAAATTTGAAATGTTGTGAGAATTATCAAAATGTGACACAGAGACACGAAATGAGCATATACTGTTGAAAAAACGGTGTGGATAGACTTGCTCCAATCAGGGTTGCCATAAACCTTCAATTTGTAAAAAGTCAGTATCTGTGAAGTACTATAAAGCAAAGCACAATAAAGCAAAGCACAATAAAAAGAGGTACGCCTGTGTTCATTCTGTAGAGTTATAAATACAATGTAGCAAATTTAGCACCAGTTTCAGAGGCAGAAATAGCTAACTTTAGAACTCAAATCTCCTGTTTACTAGCTGTGCTATTTTGGGAAAGTGACTTAGCCTTTCTAAAGCACAATTTACTGAGTAAAATGGAGATTACACTATCTTTTCAGAGCATTTCTGTAAGGTTTAACTGAAACAATGTAGGTGTATTATATGCACTTGGCAAACAGTATACACTCAATAAATATAGGATGATTTTGATATTTTACTCTTTTATTATTCCTTGTCTACTTTTCTTTACCCAAATTCTAGGTATAGATAAAATTATAGCATGTTATTGATAAAATTATACCACAAAATTCATAGCTCACCTATAATGTGATGTGTTCTCTCTTAGTTTGGCATCCGTTTAAGAGTGGAAGTCAAAAAGGTAACATGCCATTCTATATACAATTACTAAGACTAAAAAATGTGGATGGTTCAGGGAAGCATTTAGAGGCTTCAAGTTCTTTCTCTCTTTTCTTGACCTTTTGGCTATTTTTAATGAAATATTATTTTGTTTTCCTCCCTTTTCATTTTTGACATCTACCATGTCTTTTTGTTGCAGGTGATATTTTATCTAATAAAAGCAGTAATAACTCCTTAACATTGCATATTTTATAGCTTTCTTTTTAAGTACTTGAAAACTATTCTGTAAAACAAATAAAACATTAAATCATCTTTTGACTATGTGACCCTGTGGCTCTCTGTCTTCAGTCCCTTTCATGAATAATATGTTGTTTATCAGGTGACATTAGTAAACTTTTGATATTACTCAGCAGTTTTATGCATTTGCTTATATATTGTCTTCTTCTTTGCTAACCCAAATAACAAAATAAAAGGACCATCAAATGAGATAATAATCTTTCTACATCATTGCCAGTATGAAATAAAGAAATATGCAAGCATAGACAATGTTCAAAAAGAAACTCAGAAAGGATGATTGGTAAGTGACATAAACAAAGTAGAAAAAAATCAAAGTGAAAAAAATGAGAAAAGGACAAAAATGCATTTGTGAAATGTTTAAGTGGCCTCACACTTTTCAGAGTTGTTTTGGTATTTTAACGTGAAAATACAGACGGATCAATACAATATTCCAATAGTAAGTAAAGAGCACAGGGATAATTTAGCACAACCTTCTGGTTACAAAAAGGTCAAGCCATGAACATATCTGTTGCTCAGTAAGTCAAGCTGCTTTTCTGTGATTACAAATATCTAGACACTAGGAATACCTAAAGTATTAGAATCACCAAAAAGGAATGCAAAACTGGGGATTCAAAATTTATTAGAGCTACTAGTGAGAGGCACTTGACACCTAATAGGTACTTTCCCATCAAGTTAGCCACCCCCAGAGCATGTAGCATGGGATGTGAATAAAAATATTTGGTGCTTGTACATGTGGGTAAAGGAACAGGTTTCCTTACTAGAGGACTACTTGACATCATTAGAATGAATATTCCCAATCCTATTGCCAAGCCAGTTTTAACCTGGGTGCTTTTCGTTCATGAATTCTCTTATGATAACAATTGTTCCACATGATCTGATTCTAAAAGTGTGCTCTCTACATCCTAAAGTCTAAGTTTTAATGAAAAGGCAGACCAGGGGGCTTTGTACCTGGCTTGCCTGGTTTTGGACCCTTTTAACTATTTGTACTGAATTTTATGAGTTTCATAGGGAGATAACAGAACTAAATTAGCTAATTCTACAATTAAAGCCAGTTAATGGATTCATTGTGGAATGTGGTTGAGGTCATAAAACAATGCTCCCATCAGGATAAACTGCTCTTAAGCTTCAGTAACAGGGAACTGTACACTTCACCCAAGTAGATAGATAATTTTTATTACTTTGGAAATGGTTTCCCTTTTTTGCTTTGGCTGCCAGGAAGCTCAAAGCCAAATGTTAGTCCCACTTCTAGCAGTTGCACTGAAAATAGCTCCCCATAAGCAGTTATTATATAAAACATTATTTGTGCAGTGAGTAGTATGCCACCCCCTCCACAGTTGGAGAAACTGAAAAGCGGAGAAGTTAAGAGCATTGCCCAGTTACACAGCCAGGAAGCAACAGAGCCCCTGGTTATCCAATAGGAAGTGTCTTGTGGTGCTGGAAAGGCTGTCAATCATACTCCCTGGTTGTGTGACCCTGCCCAGGCCAACCCCTAATCCCTCCCATAACTGTTGTGATTGGCTCAGGGTTAGGCACATGATCCCAGGAAAAGCCAATCATTCTCCCCTGAGATTAATTCTGATGGAAGGGCACTTCCTACTCCGTGGCTATTGGCAGCCATCTCCTCTACCATGGAGTGATTTCCCCTCTAAAGAAACCGGCAGGTGGAAACAAGCCTATGTGAGAGTTGGAGAGCCAGAGAGACCAAGTCCTACCAGTACATTTGAGTCCCAGGATCGGGTTGAAAGCAGACTCACCCTTGGACTTCTTATCTACACAAATCTCTAAATTTCCTTGTGAACAGCTTATTTGAGTTTCTGTCACTTACAAATGAAACCATCTTGAATGAATACAGCAAAAAAAAAAAAAAAAAGTATTGGATAATGCTGTTGACTGGAACCTAGAAAAACAATGCAATCCATTGTAGTAAAAATAGGCAATTTTCATAGACTGTTTTCTATGGAATGTGCAACTACACTTGGATGAGATAAACAAAGGGAGGAAGCTGTAACATATCGAGGGAGAAGCTAAGACATTGATGCAGAAAATCGGGATGGTAACAAAGAGAATGAAAAAATTCCCGGCCATCACAACTCCATCCCCCAACCTGGAGTGGAGCATCAAGAATTCAGGGAGTTTCTGACCACGGCAAAGTGAGTAGATAGGCAGCTCAACCCACAGGGGAGTCTGCACTGTTCTTGCAGCCATGTACTTAGTGTAAAGAACTGCTGATGGGGAGGGACACATGCATACCTACCCCAACCCCCCAGTTCCCAGACTGCTGAGGCAAGCAGAACCAAGAAGACCACCTGACAGAAGCTTTGATATTGGGTGATAAATACTGCCAACCTGCAGTGCATAAATGTCCTGACCTTTCTTTTTTCTCTTCTTATGATCTCCTGTCAAGGCTCCCACTGGCCAAATTCAACTGGAAGCCAGAGAGCAAAGGAGCTGAGTCAGCCTCCCCCAAAATAGAAAGGTGAAGAATTGTTCCAGAAGGATAAACCAAAGGCATTCAACACCCCAGAATATGGGAGCAACTTTCTATGAGCCAAGGGATCAGTCTCAGGGATGCCCATGTTAGGAAAAAAATGAAGGCCTGTGTACTTCCACAGGCTTCCTATATTATTTCTGTCTCTGGTAATGTTGCAAAGAGCCATATGTATCACTGGAACATGTCTTCTTTAATAGGGGTATCCAAGTACTGCAATGTTTGGTGGGCTTTAAGAGATGAAACTTAACATGTATTTATTCATTATTCCTTCACATTAAATATTTTTAGAGACTTCTACATACCAGGAACAGCACTAAAATCTGGCTACAAAGATTAAAAAAAAATAAATAAATAAAGCCAAGTTATTCCCTGGAGCTAAGAAATGCACAAGAGCTAAGTTAGATTATAGAATACTTTTACAATCTCTCCAGACATAAAATGTTATTTGGCAGTAAGTCTTTATAAAACATAATAACTAGGACCCAATGTGTATGTTATACCACTAAGTAACACAAGAAATGATTCGGGCAGATTGCACGTTAGAACTTTCAACAGGAACCACATAATAGTGAATGGAAATCAAGTCATTATCTGTAAACGATCTGTTAGAAACCCGAAAGTAAAGTATGCTTAACCAAAAGTCAGAATTGTTCGTTTACTGACGGGGTCTATCTTTAACAGGCCTTGCAATAAAACTGGATTTAAAAAAGTTTTAATTTTACATATTTGCAGTGCG